CTATGAGGCCTCCTCCAACCCCTACAGCCTCACCCAAGCCTCCGGTCTGCAAGCCTGAACATAAACTAGAGCCTCCTGGCTAAACCATAGTGCCCAATCCTCTCCGGGCTATAGTGAGCTATACTTGCAAGTCAGGCTTCTTGCTATATCTCGGCCCAGGGAGCTCCTGCCTCTCCGGTTGCTGGCAGGGAACTGCCAGCCTGGTCTCAGCCCTGGGCTTTATAAGGGCCAGGCCCTGCCTCCTACAGGCAGCTGGCTCCCCTTAGCTGCCCCGGCAACCCGCAGCTGGGCTCGTTACCCTGGCAACCCTCAGCTGGGCTCGTTATGACCTGCCAGGGCTCTGTCTCTCTCCCTGGCAGTTTCTCCCCTCTAGGAGCAGAGCACGGAGGTGCTCTGCGACACAGTGCAAAAGCATTTAACCCACTTGAAAGTGTTGTGCACACATGCCCCTCATTTAATCTACACACACCCTTAGTTTTTTATTGCACCATCACATATGTATATATGCAAATATAAAAAACTTTAATATTTCTATTTTCATTGTCCTTTCTGTTAGAATAATACATTTTTTTGGTAATGCTATGGGGCCTCTTAAGTTTGACATAGCTTAGGGCCCCAGCATGTCATAATCCGGCCTTGTACTGCCCCCTCACTGGGGCCACTGGGGTCTTACACCCCATGGGACTCAGGTGTCTCACTAGATGTGCCTGGCTCCTTTCCTGTCCCTATGTAAAAGGGGGTTCTCTCGGGGCCGGTCTGTCATTGGCCCACCCACCTGTTTCTATGGGCAACAACCCGCCTCCTCTCCTGCCATGCCTTGATGATACATAATTATGGTGTTAATTAGGTGGGAGGCTGCCCATTCTTGCCCCAATGCCAAGGGGCACTATCTGCAGCTCTGTTCCTCCCCTACACAGCAATCCAAGCCTTGCAGATGGCATCCAGGTTAATATTATTCCTGGCCTGAGACTGGAGCAAACTCAATCCAGAGTTGGGCTCCACGCACATGCACATTCATACCACCTCCCCTCTCACAGGAGGCCTCTTCCACTCTACCCCCTCTCACTGGGACCTCTGTCATACTGCCCATTATCGAGCCACACTCCACCACCCTGCTTCTCCTTTAGCAAAGCATCTGGGCCATCAGGCTTCGCTACTCACATACCGACCTCACCATGCAGTCCCTTTGGTTCTCACAAGTTCCCCTACTCTGCGTGGTCCGGCCTTGTGCCGAATCCTGGGCTAATTACGCCCCACGCCCCTGACCAGGCACAACTCTATATACATTCACACACACACATACTGGGCTCCCAGACCTCTGTTTTCCCCCCCTCACTGGGGGCTCCATAACAGCCCCTTCATTGGGGCTCCTCATCTCTTCCCCCTTACTGGGGCTATGGGGCTTCCCTCCCTGGTTGGGCTCAGGTGGCCATATCCGTGCCTGGCCCCCCTTGTACCCACAGTGTTGCAGGGGCTAGGGGTTAAGGTGCCCTGACCCGCCTTTCACCAGGGTGGTAACTGGCCTTGTATTTCCTGGGGGCTCCTATGCCACTGGGAGCCACACCAGGCTACCCACACCCAGCAGGGTGTAGTTTTAGGTCTTGCACAGGAACAGGAGCCTCCAAACCATCTCCTTAAACTCCTGCCCTTACCTCCAAGATGTAGCATTTAGCGTGCAGCCAGGCAATGTTTCTGTCTGCCTTACCAGCAGCAAACTGCTCTGTTTATACAGGCGGCCAGAGATCTAAAATGGCCACTGCAATCAAACACCTGCTGGCTGCTTGTCTCAGCCCTTAAAGTGACAGGCACCAACAGTGCCCTGCCACACCCAAGGCACAATACTCGCCTTTTACTAGGGAGGTGACTGGTGTGGCATTTCCTGGAGTCCACCATGCCACAGGCAGCCCCACCACACGATCCATCCCTAGCAGAGTGTGGTTTTCAGCTATTTCCCAGGACCAGGAGCCAATACATTCCCCATACCTCCTGCCCTCTACCTTCAAGGATGTTATGTGAGCAGCAGCTCCAGCCAGGCAATATTCCCCCTTCAGCTGCTTGCAGCAAACTGCTAGCTTGCCTGCTCTTATTGCTAGCAGCTGAGACCTCTTCCCCAATCAGGCAGTCCGCTTCTGGCCATGTGACTCCTGATTGGGGAGTGCAGCCATGTGCAGGCTGCTCTGCTGCTTGGTTTAAGCCTGTAAAGTGGCAGGCACCAAAGGTGCACTCCCACAGTATGGATGCACCATGGATTTATAAAGGGGCATAATGATACCTCCTATTTTGTTTACAGTTCCCTGCCTTTCTGATGGCTGCTGAGCACTGAGCTGATGTTTTTAGTGAACTGTCCACAATGACTGACAGATCTCTTTCCTGTGTGGTAACAGCTAATATAGAGTCCCGTGTGACTGTGACAGGTCTGAGCTCCCCCGCCCAGGACCTGTTCCCCCTTCCCGCCCAGGGGCATTGCAGCCTCAAGCTCTTGAGCTCACCAGTGGGTCCTTACGGAGAGGTGATGCCGTCTGTCCAGGTAAGAACTGCTCTTGTGCTCATCTGCGCCTGGCTTCCCTGCTCCCGTGAGGACTGCCAGGTAGAGTGCGTCAGGCCCAGCGGGGTGTGCAGGTGATGGGGCCGAGACGGGTCATTTGGGCCAAGCCAGCAGTGTGGAAGAGAAAGAAAGCCAACCATGGTGCTGTGGGGACAAAAAGGGCTCGTTGCCCTGCGCGTTCTCGTGGTTTGAGGTCAACCCTGAAATGTGCCTTTTCCATAGGAAGAGCCAAGTGCTGAGCAGGCTTGTCTGCTGCTTACTTCTTTCTGCTGCCCTGCCAAAGGAGAAGCAGCTCTGCCTCTGAGCTCGCCTGGACTTGCCTCCTCTCCACACAAAGTTGGGGGAAGGGGTGGCACGGGAGGGGGGGAGTTCCCCAGTCTAGCATTTAAAAAAAATATTCTCCGCTTCCTTGAGATATGCCCTCACCTTGTTACTAGAGATTGGTTGTTTGTGCAGGAGCTCAGTCCCTAGGATTTGACCCATGTAATGAATCCCTCCCACCAGAGTAGGAAAAAATAAGATGGAGACAGTTCAACAGGGAAAAGGTAAGGGGGAGAGTGAGTGAGCAAGGGCCCATGGCTAAGTCTTGGAGACAGCTCCAATTAGACAGGCGGATGGATGCAGGGAGAAGGGAGTTTCAATCCACAAGAAATGGTTTAGGCAGGCTGGGGACACGTTGGGGGTCGGGGCACTCTCCGTGTCTATTGATGCAGCAGAGATACGAGGTCAGGACCATTATTTAGGATCCTTTTCCACCTGTCCCTCCCAGATTGCTCCATGCCCTCAAGAGTGGAGTTGTGCCCTACACAACTTTCTCCTCTTGTTTCCCAGATAAGTGTTCCCTTCTGGCTTTAAAAGCCAAGTGTCTTCTCCCTGAGCCTCCCTCTTTCCTTTCCCGCATACCTTATGCGGGTAAAACCGCGAGGGCAGCGTTGTAACTGAGTGCTGGTCAAAAATGTCTGTAGGGGAACACTGCCAATGCAGCAACTGTGCCGCCGTGGGTCAGGGGAGTAGAGAGCACCGAGCAGTGGTGATAATGGGGTGGGAGAAAATAAGAAAAATAAGCAAGGACTTCAATTTAGAGCCTTATCCCGGGTCACAGATAGGAGCAGGTTGTCACGGACCTTATGCTTAAGTCAAGGCCAAAATATGGGTGGGATAAACAGAGCTCAGTGCTCCTCCTTCTGGCCTGTGCTGGGCAGGAGGTCGGAATAGATGCTGATGAATAGATGCTTGGCATGAAAAATGGGAGTCCATGTCCCTGCCCTGGTTTATCTCCATACGCTACTGCTCTGCAAAATGGGACAGTCCCAGTGCATCACTCCTGATGGATGGGGTGATGGGAAAGGGATGGGTCGCCTCTGCGTTAGACAATGGATCTACTGGGAAATCTCCCAGTGTGAAACCGTGGAAACAGGAGTG